ATAGAAAAAATCTCTAAGTTTTTCTTTAAGCATTCAAAATAAAAAATAGGCAATGTTCTAAAAACTTGAGATAAATAAGAAAAAAAGTCAAAAAATACTTAAAAAAAAGTCTGAAACAATATAGAAGAATTTTTAAAAAGACAGTACACAACACAAAGAAAAATCTGAAAATAAAACTGAAAAAAGAATAAATAAAGTGGAACATAATAGAAAAGCAGAAAGTAATACTGAAGAAAATTAAAAAAAAATAATGTTTTAGAAGACAATCTAAAAAGAAGTCTCCAGAAGAAACCAAAAAAAAGCTGAACAAAAGTCTGTAATTTGAAAAAAAGTTTGAAGTAGAAAATAAAAAACAAGATTAGAAGAAAAAGCCAAACAAAAATTTTAATGAGGATTTAACGATTATTATTAAAAAAAATATAGAACTGAAAAAACATACTTGAGCATAGTTAGGAGCAGAATTTAAAGGAAAAGTTAAAAAAACTGAAAAAAATTTAAAAAACCGTTAAAAAAATACACAATGTTCAACGTAGAAGATAAAAGAGAAGCTAAATATAAAATTGAGGAAAAATCTAAAAAGTAATTTAAAAAAATAATTCAAATAAAAAATCTAGAATCAGATTTTGCTTTAAGCATTTAAAATAAAAGCTAGAAAATGTTTACAAGCAAAAAAAGTACAAAAACCGTAGAAAAGTTAAGAAAACACATTAGGAAAAACTCAAAAATAATTTAGATAAAAAAATTAAAATGTAGAAAACAAAATTTTTGGTTTTAGAAATAAAAATCAAATATTTGACTTGACAATTTTTGTTAAAAAAAATGAATTACCTCATTATAGCCCATCATCCCACGCTCCCCTGTATACTTCCCAGCATCCCCCCCCGCCACAATCGGGGCCCCCAACTTATTATTACTCGCATTGGCGAGTGTAAAACTCCTCCCATAAACCCCCAAACCTAAAACCAATTTTTGAGGATCCGCCCCTCTCTCAATCCACCCTCGAATCGCCGCATCCACATTGAGTAACCTCTGACTCCCCTCCACATCAATGGAGGAGGCAAAAAGTGGGGCATTTTGTCCAGTCACAGCCTCCCACGACCCGTGCAAATCATACGCCATCACATTAATAAAATCAAGATACCTGAAAACAACCAAATAAAAAAAAAAAAAAAACCCTAAATTCCAATCCCCCACTTGCTCAACGATGGTACATGGTAGGACAAGTCCACTGAGGGCCCCGCCGCGGCCACAGCCGCCGTCAAAATCAACCCATGCTGGTCCCAAACCTCCCGAAACTCCCTAATCAAGGTGGCGTAATTCTCCTAAAACAATTGATTTTCACGAGTACTAAATTTGGACTTGCGTACTATATCGGCAACAGCGCCTCCTCGTTGCCCTGGATACTCCCAATCAAGGTCAAATCCATCGAAACCCCACGTTTGGACTAAATTCAAGGCACTCTTGATAAATGTGGCCCGTTTGGTGGGACTCGCGGCCATTTTGGAGTACGTTTCGGAGCCTTCGTTCCACCCCCCGATTGCAATTAAAGTCTTCAAATTGGGGTTTTGGGACTTAAGGCCGTTCAATTTGGCTATGGTTCCAGCATCCACGTCCAAATACTCGTCCAAATGTTTTACAGTACCATTGGGTTGGAGTCCCACGAAGGTATAGATGATATGGGTGCACAAATGGGGGTCGATATGGTCGACGGTGAAGCGGCCATTGCCCCAGCGGTAGGTCGACCACGTGCCCCAATAACACACCAATTTGTCTAAATTTTGATTAATTAATTGATTAATTAGTTAATTAATTACCTGTGGTGGAGGAAACGAGAGCAGTGCTCACACAAAGTAGCAAAAAAGCTGCAAAAGTCTTCATTTTTGTGATTGAAATGTGAGGATTTGTGTCTACTATTTATAAGGGTTTGCTATCTGTTAAATCTTTTATGGGGGGGTAATAAATTTAATTATTGCAATTGGGGATTAATCAGTTCTAAATTAGGGATTTTCCACCGTTTGGTGGAAAAAAATCTTGCTTTTTGTGCTACTGTTTATTGGATTAATTGTGAAAAAATTTTATTACAGGATTCTATTAGTTTGTCGTAAATGTGCATCATGTTGTATTAGTTTTATCAATTTTGTGTTCTTATCGTAATTTTTATTATTTCTGGAGGAAAATATAGCTGAGATAAGACACGTAGTTTGGTCACATTTGTTTAATTTAGAAAATTTAGACAAGTGTTCTAAAAAAAACTTGAAGCAGTCTTGACAAGAATTTAAATAGAAATTTGAAAACGAAATTGAAACAGAAACAAAAAAAAATATAAAATCAAAAAAGAATTGGGTAACGAACCTAGAAAAAATTTAGAGACAAATCTACAAAGAAATTATGTGAAAGTATTTTAAACAAGATTAAATAATATTTTAAGAAAAAAATGTAAAAAATAAAAAATTCAAGAAAGATCTAAAAAGTTGAAAAAAGTGTATAGATATTTTTTAAATTCCAAATGTTAAAAATCTAAATAATTAAAAAAATTTGAAAAAGCAAAAGAAGAATTTGGGAAAGTCTAGAAAAGGACCTAAAAAGAAACCTGCAGAATAATCTAGAAAGTAATTATGCAAAATAGTGCAAGATGACAATTTTAGAATTTTCCTAAATGTCATAAGTTGGATAAAGGTGTAAAAAATAAAGAAAGACTGAAACAAGTAAAAAAATGTAGATATATTCTAACTGTCAAAAAGCTAGATAGTCAAAAAACAATTATGAAAGAAAATAGAGAAGACTACAAAAGAATCTAAAGAAAAATGAAAAAAAGAAAGATAAATATAAAGAATCTAGAGAATCAAAAATGTAAGTCTACAAAAGAATCTGAAGAAAAATGTAAAAAATATTTTAGAAAATGGTTTGGAAAATAGTTAACTAGAAAAAAATGAAAAAAATTAGAAAAAATATCTGTCAAGATTTTAAAGAATTTACCTTTCTTGAGTTATCAGCAGACACAAGATATATGTAAAGAAATTTGAACAAAAACCTAGAAATTTTTTTTTATAATAATCTGAAAATCAATCTAGAAAAAAATCTATGGAATCAAAAAAGAATTGGCTAAAGAAACTAGAAGGAATTTAGCGACAAATCTACAAAGAAAGTATGCGAAAGTGATTTAAACAAGGATTTAAATAATATTTAAAAAAAATGTAAAAAACAATAAATTTAAGAAAGATCTTAAACTTTAATAAAAAAAAATTCAACTTCTTTAAACAATAATTTTTAGTAAATGTAGAACATATTGCACATGTCTACCAAGAAAACTAAAAAAAACATAACATTTAGAAAAATCCTAAATTTGTCAGCAACCTTCTTTTTTGTGTTTAAACAGACTGCAAATAAATGAA